GCAGGGTCAGACATTTACACGGCGCCCCTGGAGCAGTTGGGGTGCAGGGCTTTCCTCAGGGGCCCAGTGGAGTAGGATTCCTCTGCCGGCCGCAGGATACGAACCGGCAACCTTCCAGCCACAGGCGCAGATCCTGAGCCACAGAGCCTACAGAACAGTCCCACTGGACCAGTCCACATTTAGAGGAATATGTATGTGTTGCGTGAGGAGACAGAAAATTCAACGACTTTGGAAAAAGCTGTTTTGTCTTGGAAAAGCATTGCCTTTCTTATTTAAAAACCATTTATTATATCCACATCCACATTATTCCGCATTTCCACTGTTTCCACTGTGTAATGTAATGGAGAGGAACCAGCTTTGGTTGCTTTATGTGAGATGCAGAATGTGCGGAATATGGAGTGCTGAAAGCCCTTCGAGAATTGTGATCAGAAAGGCGTCTGTATTGGGTTTGTGTTCTTGCTTTTGCCTCGGGAGTGTAGAGCTCTTTGTTGGAAGGATTCAGTAGTGAGGCGTAAAAGGAACTGGACTCCACTGAGCTGCTCGTGGGGGAGAGGAAGTGACAGTTGGTGTTTGTGTTGCTTGGGTACAGGCCTCAGCAGTGTGCGCTTTTGTTAAAGCGCCTCAAGATGCACTGTTTATTGAGCTGAGAACGCACAAAAATATTTACCACCAAAATCGGCGATTGTGTCCTCAGATTTAAAACGAAAAGTCCAGTTTGAGATTATTTTTTAGTGTGTCGTTTGTGCTATCCTTACTCTGAAGTTTAAATTCTGCCTTCTTGGCTTTTGCATGGGGTTGTGAAGATACAGCTTTATTTGATCGATTACAAATATGGCTCCAAGTTTTAGTCCACGGAAATGTTATGCTAGCCCTGGTCTTCCCCTTGCTCAAACAGAGTTACGGCTTCTGAAATGCAGCAGCAACAGCCCTGTCCTCAGCCGGGATGCTTTGTGAATTATATCTTTTTCATGTGCTGTGGTTAAATCAGCTTTTAGTTGATTTTCAGACATGCCTGCTGAGACTATTTTCTTAGGTCCTGCAGTTCCTATATTTATGAATTCATCATCTAGATGCTGATGTTTGTGTTCTGAATTCCCGAGTTGCACGGTGCTTGGGATTCCAGATCATCCCGTGCGTTGTCATTGCAGGGCAGGTTTTCTACCTTTTATTTAGTTGATTGCAGTTCATGAACTTAAATTCAATTCTGACTTTGTTGGAATTAATTGGAAAGGATGAGAGACAAAAGATGTACCTAAGATACAGAAGACCTGTGTGGAAATCTCACAGCGTGTTTAAATCCACAGGACCAGGGCATCGTCAGGTTTCTGTCTCTGCACAGACATCTCATTGCTTACTTAAGGGAGTAGTGGCAGGGACTCTAATTGGCCCTTGAGAGCCCATTAGTGCAGCATGGTGCCCTTACTCTGGTGTCACAGTGAAATAAGTCCCTGCACCGGGGAATTTGTTAGGGGAGCTTTAAGATTTAATTGCTGCATATTAAAGTAGCAGGCAAATGTAGAGGCTAGAGGTTATACAGAGCCATGCCATAGTAAAATGAGCAGGCTTGTCATAGTCCTGTTGTGAGTGTGAACAACATTAAGTATTAAATGAAGCACAGCTTTAACACAGTGATAGATCATTGTTATGTATACAGTCCTCATTATCATACAGTATAATTCCACTATTTTGGAGTTTTGGTTTTCATATCTCAAGTGCTGGAGGTTCAAAGTCTTATCTCTGATGTAAACCTGCTGTCATATTCTTTTTCGGTTCTTTGCTTTTTATAATTACAGTTAGTCTTCACCTTCCTTTTCTTCTAAAGGAAAGTCATTGTTTTCCCAGTTCCATTATAGACTGTCAGCGCTAAAAATTTCTCTTAATATAAAGGTTAATGTCCTTTTCACCTTCATTCATATAAGACTGCTCAAGTGCTAACTTTGATTCAGAGCTGATGGTGTCTGTTCCTGTCTCCGAGGTACTCCATCTTAATACCATTTCGGAATGAACCCCCGTTATCAATTCATTTATCTCTCCATTCCGCTTGTGTCCGAACTGCATGTCCCTCTGCCGGTTTCTGGAATCCAGTGATATATGATAATTGAGCCCCCATCCTCCTCCCTTCCCTTCCTCTTCAGTCTCTTTCTCAAGGATATCGGTGAGCAGGCAGGGGCGCTGGGGGGGGGGGATGAGGAATTTTCCCCAATTCCTCTTGAAATTCCTGTTTATTGGGAACACGTTGACAGCGGGAAGAATTCCTTCTCGGATTGATCCGCTCTTGGCAACGTGCTGGAATTTAGCCCAAATCACCTGGCCCACATGGTCCTGGAAGAGATGGGCTCCCTGTGGACTTTGGGAGCCAGGAGCTTAGTTTAGTTCAGTCTTAGCTTCCTGCCTCGCGGTGCAGGATACTTGAAAGGGTGGCTGTGGACTTGCACTGACTTCAGACAAGTCCCACATCACGGCTGTCGACTGACAGACTGGCTGGTTGTCACTCCCAGAGAGGAAGAAGGTGGACCTGTTTTGCTAAAAGCCATGTTTGTTCAGGAGGAATCCGAGTGCAGAGCTTCGTCCCAGGCTGCAGAGGATCAAGTGGAGGATCATCCCATGCTGGGAAGCAGAAATGTATTAAAAAAAAAAGAAACAAAAAAAACAGTATCTGTTTGTTTGCTTTATTCCTTTCAGAAGATGCTATATGTTGTGATGAATAATTGTCAAGGGTTGTATGTATAGATGGTGAACTATGTGTATATTATATACAGTACATATATATGACTCAGACTTTCATGGTTTGACGACATTGGCACGGCTCTGCTATGCCAGTATGGATAATTTTAGAATTAAAATTGGCCTAACAAGTATCTGCAGGCTTGCAGAGGTGGGAGATCATCTGATTGCAGGGTGTGAAGTGCTGAAGGAATGATGCTTTGTAGGGAAACCAAGCTGCAGTGGGGCGCAGCTGTCGGGGAGTCTGTGAGCACCGTGCAGGTCCCTTTGAGAAGGCCCTCCTGGCCCAATGGCTGTGAGCAGCCGAGCGAGAGGAAGGAGGGATCCTGAGGCATTCTGAGGATCCGGCAAACCTGACTCAGTACCTTGTCGTGCCGGTCATTTCGGCGGCATCTACGTCCGAGGCCAAAATGGCGGCCGTGTGTTTACAGACGGGCAGCATGGTGGCGTAGTGGTGAGCATAGCTGTCTCGCACTGCTGAGGTTCAGTTCCAGACCTGGGGTGCTGTCTGCGTGGAGTTTGTGTGTTCTCCCCATGTTCAGGGTGCTCCTGTTTCCTCACACAGCACGGTTCTAGGTCAACTGGCGTCTGGGTCTGGGTCTGCCCTGCGGTGGACTGGTGTCCTGTCCAAGGTGTACCCCGCCTTGCGCCCACTGCTTGCTGGGAGCGGCCTGCCAGTTCCCCAGCGACCCTGAATTTGAAGAAGCACTTAGAGAACGGATAGATGCACAAAAGCTTACAGGCAGCTTTGTGCTTTGTGATTTCTGCTTAACCTGGGTTCTGTCACTGTGGAGCAAATGAGGCCTGAGAGGCAGTGATGAGAGAGCTGCATTCACGAAAAACAGGCTGGTGAGGTCGTTGCAAGCTCTGAATTCATCTCTGGAGTCCCAGCTGAAAGAAAGAATGTTGCTTCTGCCCGGAGAGCTTGTGCTTGATGAATTTCTAACTACAGGAGTTTTATTATTATTATTGTTGTTGTTGTTGTGGTTGTTGCATTTTTCTCTTTTAGTCTGTAAAAAGAACAGCCGGAAATTCAGAAAGCACCTCAGTGAGGTCTGTGGATCAATAAAGTACTAACAGATGAGGGGGTCGAGTGGCCTTGATGGTTTCCTGTGAGAGTGGTGGCAGTTCTGAAGTGTCTGCTTTGTTTGTGGCGGTGAGAGCAGACCGTACGTAATGTGATCCGATTTATCCTGTGACTCGGATGCAGCAAATCGCCTTCAGAAAACAAGAAACTCGGAGGTGCATTTAAAACCGAGAACAGGAGGCTCTTGGTTACGCGGAGGGCTGTGGAAAAAGCTGCCCAGCCGTGTTGGAGAAGTTGATACCCTGGTTTCTTCCAGGACACTGATGGTTAGGACTCTTAAAGGATCAGTTAGATAGTAACTACTACACATTTGTAACTGGAAAAAAGGTTTAGAATATGTACATTGACTGGGGAAGGAGCAGATTTTGTCATGTAGTGGGGTGTTTATTCTGAGTTTTCTGTCTAAGAAGCGTTTTCAGGCTTGCCTGTTTTTTAACGCTGGAGAAAACGTTGCCCTCCTATTTCTGAAATTGAACTTTAAGGGACGTCTCAGTTAATAGCTGACTGGTTTGAAAAATGTACATTTGTAATTAAATGTTTTTGGAACATTTTGCCTATTCTCGTTTGAAAAAGCAGAGCAATGATTCCACAGTAGACAAAAGCCTTGAAATTCCTCCTGTTAGTGTGTAGATGAAAATACTGTTGAGCTTCTTTGGCTTTTAGCCTAAAATGTTAACTAGACTCTAGGTTGTTTAGAATGTGACTGTGAGTTTGTTTATTCTAATTGAATATCTCATTTAACACAGAGCTCGGGTCCACACACTGGTTACTGGTTGTTTTGAATCGGTTTCATTCTCTAATGAGCAGTTGTAATGGGTTGGAAAGTCTTTCTTGGGCGAGAGAACTTCCTGCTTTTGTGAGCTACTCCTAATGTTGACACAGGGATGTAAAACATCCCTGCAAGCTCTGGGACGCTAGGGGCTACAGCTGTTCTGTCTGTGGAAATTCTCCGTTCAGATCCCATCGGGTACGCCGAATCTCCGAGGTGTTTTGTGAGTCTCACTTGAAAAGCTCTTTCAAATGTGCTTTTGTGTATCAGGGTTGTGCGGTGTCCCTACAAGCTTCATTGTGCCTGGAGCACACATCACTCTGGGATGCCATCTCCATTTTGACAATGAGTAATGATCTGTGTGTGTGACATCCCGCCTTCCCTGTACCTCTCCCTAAGGGTGTCGTCTTTTCTCCACAGGGCCTTATACACGTATGAGGACAACACCAATGACCTAACACTGGCGTCCTCCGGAGGTATGCAGAGTCTTTGCATTGTATTTGTTACATCTTATTAGCATTTTGGCTAACACTCCTGAAGCATATTCAGTGCGCTTTAAGTCAATAATGTGAAAAAGCAAAGCAACCAACAAGCCCTGTAATTTTGCAATGACTGTCCCCCAAAGGCAACTCGAGAACTACACCAAAGGCTGTATTTATCAATATTGAAGCCACTATTATCGCTGACAAGCTCTGTTGTTGTTGACATCAAGCATGTTTGTTGCCATTTAGGTAAGAAAACTGTATTTGAGCTTTTGACATTGTAAAATTGCAAGGCGTAACACCAGCAAAAAGAAAACCTTTGGCAGAAGATTATAAGATTTAGCAACAAGCCTAGAAAGAGAGCTAGGATTTAATTATCCAGCAATTAAAATAATAATAGCTTGTACGTGTTAATTAATATTGAATTAGATCTAAGGGTAAATGACGATGCGGTGTGTTTTAAAGATGAAATACGTATTTTTTTGCACATATGTTTGTTCGGCTCTGGAACGAAATAATTCCCCCCACACCTGGGCTGTTCAGGTCAGGTTCTCAGTGATAGGAATTTCACCATTTCCCGGTAATAAAGTCAGAAAAGAGCACTGGCTGGATCTCCTTTAATACTTCCTTCTAGATATCGGTGAGGATTACTAACTTAATACGGAATTAGCTTTTGGGAGAACCACATCTTCATTTTCACCACAAGCATTTCTGTTCTCTGTAGAAGCAGCATCATGGAAAGCAGCTCCAAAACGTCTGCTGAAGTTTTCCATAGTGGTTATCACTGCTGTGGAAATAGAAAGATATACCTGCCTGGCCTTGGTGCTGGGGCTGTTCATATTGACCGTTTCTCCTGTTAGTGACAGCGGGGCATAGAGTCCTGTCAAACACCCGGGATTCAGGCTCTCTTCGTCTGCTCTGGATGGTCCGGTTTGATCTCAAAGCAGCCCCAGGGTAGTCTGAAGCCAGTGTGTCCCCTGCAGTAAGTGGGGTAAAAGGAGCCCGGCTGGTTGGTTGTTAAGTTGCTGTGGAGGGTTGGACCTGTGGGACTGTGAAGCTTCCTGTCGTTGCAACTAAACTCACCGCCAGTGCTTGACCTGCAGTATTACAGACTGCGTCCAACCAGCGTTCCTGTCGCACTGGGCCTGCTCCGTGTGTCACAGGCGTTTGTAAGGTATTCTACCACGGTTGCTTTTACACTTGCAGCTCTTGGTACAGACTACAGCAGGCCCTTGCATCAGCTCCACGCTCACGAATGATTCTAGTGTGTAAGAATTGCAAATTACATGTACATATGGCAGTAAACTCCTCTACTGCTGATTGGCCTTTTTGGATCTTTTTAGTAGCCCGAGGTGTTACAGATACTTTGAAAAGGTGATGGTGACATGTTCTGTGTGGAGTTTGCATGTTATCCTGCGGTTCTAGTGGGTTTTGTCCATGTGCTCCAGTTTCCTCCAACAACTAGGAAGTCAGAGTACAGCAGCTTCCGTTCCCTGTAATACTCGCTGGCTCTCACAACAGGAGAATCGGCATAGGCAAGTGTTATTCCTGTCTTCAGTCAGTGGCAAACAGACCATACTAACCAGCAAAACCAGTACTTGACTGAATAAAGTATTTGCCAGTTTGGCTGGGGCTGAAACTGGGGGCTGCCCTGATGGAGACCTGCGCTTCAGGCTGCGTTTCCTCTCTCCACCACCAGGAGGCGGGCTGCCAGAGATCACCCTGTCTTTTGAAAGCACACGGGTCATGTATGGCTTCTGCAGTCTGAAGGAGCCCACTGCTGCCCTGCCTCGCTACATCCTCATCAACTGGGTGAGTGTGTACTTCTGCAATCCTGGGTGCTTACCTTATAATTATTCCTTACACTTCTTTAGCTCTTTTCTGGACACTCCACTGAAAGTGCCTTACAGGTCATGGGGACTCCCCTCCACCAGCACCAGTGTGCAGCCCCACCTGGATAATGTGCCAGTCCGCTCCCCACACACCAGCTCTCAGTGGGGAGGAGAGCAGAGTGATGAGGCCAGTTCAGAAATGGGGATTATTAGGAGGCCATGATTGGTAAAGCGCAGGGGGAAATTCGGCCAGGACACTGGGACTCTGTCTTCCCAATTCATGACTGCTCATCCCCAGAGACATTCAGTGTTTAATGGTGCTGCACCCAGGCTGGCTGCCTGGGAGCATGTAATTTATCCAGCTCTGGAAGCTGCTATCTCATACTTGGCATGGGGTTCGGGCTGTGGTTTACTCTTATAGCTTATATCTGGGAAGTAAGATTGTAGAAGATAAGATGGCTTAAAATGTCTCCACCAGGAATCTGTTTTTCCAGTTAAATTACAGGCGTGGAAAACAAGACTCCCATTGCTTCGCAGTGGGGATTTCAGATTTTACAAACCTCAGCCTCTCGCTCGAATTCCCAGTCTGTATCCTCCGCCAAACCACGCTGGAATACAGAAGGTCCAGTGTTTCCTTAAGTGCCTCCTCCACTGCAGTAACCTTGGTTTCCACAAGCAGCTGGTTAGCCAATTAAGAAAGTGTTTGCTTGGAGGAGTTAATTACAGTACCTTGGGACTTAATAATCAAAGCTGCAATAACAACAAAAGATAATCCATGCAGAAGATGGTGGACAAGATTGTATGCCATACCTAGGAAGGTCGAACAGCAGTAGATAAAAATAAAGCATGATCTTTTACCCCCATACATTCTAACAGGGGTTTGTGGCTTCTCTGACAGATGTAAATTTGATCTCCTGGAACATCTGTCCTGGAATGGCGAGAGTGCCAGAGAGGGAAGAATGGTGTCATAACTAGATTTGCCACCGTGTGTTTCTGACGGACAGCAGCTGGTGCGATTAAGACACACTTGTTTTGATGTGAAGTGATTTCCTTCAAGTGGTTAATTGAATTAGGTTAACTGTTCAACTTTGAGTGGTTAATAGTTTGCAATTTAGCTGTCATTTAGCTAAAGAATGATGGTAAGTATTCAAGCTGGTTGATTTAATGTTACTTATTTTAACAACAGCCCATCTACAGCAGACCTGGTATTTCATTTGATTTTTTCATTCCAATGCTGCAGAAAACTTCTAATCCAGCAAAGGCTGACTCTTGGGGATTTTGACTGCACTCTACCTTTAAAAAGTACACAGAAGAACTCCAACAAAAGCACGTTAAACAGCGCTCCGATCTTAAAAACAGTTGATTAATGCTTTTGTTTCATAATTACGCCTCTTTGTTAAAAAGAAGAAATACCAATTTGCAGCAATCAGTTTTGCTGCAATCAAATTTAACATTTAATGCATTTTACAATCTAATTAAATCAGTGTACCCCGTACAGATTTAATCATCGTTTGTGCTAAGAAAGGCACTCCTCATAGCACATACTGTACCAGTCCCTGTGGTTCCGACCTCAGTCCTAACCTGGTCATGCCCCAGAGTCTCCTGATACTGGCACACTGGGACTGAACGAGGTCTTTCAGCCCAAAAGCGACTTTGTGACCTGCCAGCTGCCGGCGTTTACAATGCCACCTCAGCAGTCAGTGCCAGCTCTCCGAATCCAATGAACAACAACATATACTCGTCTTGTCTGGCTCTTTCTCTGGTGGCAGAATGCCGGTTTCTAAAGTTTGAAGCTCCCAGAGATGTATTAGTCCTCCCTGAAAGTCAGGTTGAGGAGTGTCTGACTCTCCTGCTCTCCTCTCAGGTGGGCGAGGACGTGCCGGATGCCAGGAAGTGTGCGTGTGCCAGCCACGTGGCCACGATCGCGGAGTTTTTTCAGGTCGGTGCTACTGAGGTAACATTCCACCCTTTTTTCACCTTTACTAGAGATTTACACCATACGAAATGTTCCAAGCGAGAGGAGTAGAGATTGTTTGCCTAAACTGCCTCATTTAGTCCTTCTGGTCTGGGCAGAGCTAGTATGAACAGGCTTTGAGATAAAAAAAAAAAGAGTGGGAAAAAACAGCTTGGAGGCAGCTGACTGAATTGTTTGCACCCTGTCTGCTTTGATTTATTCAGTGATGTCCTGTTCCTGTGACATTTCATGCTGTTTTAGTGAAAACAAATCCCTGATCCAGAATGTTTGACAAGATCTTGAAGAGGCAGGTCATTTACCAGTGTCTTTCCAGAACCTTGTTATTTTGTGGTCTTGGCTGACATTTGTCTCCAAGACAATTTCGTAACTGTGAAAAGTTATGCAGCACCGAGAGGAGAAGGCTAAAGAAATTCTGGGCACAACGCAGCACCTAATACAGTTTGTTTCACAGTGAAACCAACACACAGGGTGGACAGCCATAGCAAATAGGGTCAGGACTGGTTCACAAGCATCAAAACGTTTCAGTTTGACTTTCCTGAATGATGGTTTTTGTAAATATATTTTGCAATGTGTAACTTTTTTTCTCCCCTGCCTTTTAGGTACAAAAAAGAGTGGGGATAAGAAGTGGGATGTTATCATAAGGCAACCAAACAACAAAATACAATAATAGTATTAAAAATCTTTCATGTTTATGCTAATGCCGATGTATCTTAAAAAAGAATAAGAACTCCCAGCTTGTTTGGTACAGTAGTTAGTAGCTTATTGTTCTGAAGATCTCGTTCAGCTGTTTATTGAAAGGATCCAGGCTAGCTTGTTCCACACTCCCACAACCCTTTGTGTAATGAAGTGATGCCTCTCGGTTTCAGTTGCCCTTCGACATTGTTTCCACTTGTCACATGTAGTTTGTATTTGAGTGCTGATCCTCCTGAAAATCATGTTTAGCATGTTTAAATATACCGAAGAGCCGAAGTGAGTCCTCAACACGCAGTGCTGAGACTCAAACACAGCAAGACTCTGCCTGATGGCTCATCCTTGAGTTTCCTGCAGGGACCCTGTTCAGACACTCGTGCAGGAGACTGTTTCACCTGAGGCACAGAGCTGCTGAGACACATCTGTGCAGCCTCGCTGTACGAGAAGAGCCTCATTTTAACAAGGCTGCCTCCCCTTAGATATCAAATTCATGTGCATAGTAACACTAGTTGTGGAATAAGTGCACTTTGTAGCCTCCTGCTATGAATTAAAATTCAAGCCTGTGCTCTACCGTCATGATTGGTTCTATGAAACCTGCAGGCAAGCAAATTAGAATTCAAATTGCCGGCGAATGAAATTACCCAGTAATGATATTTGAGGGCTGGAGATGTGTGGTGAAGTGTGTTTGTGTGTGACTAATGTGGCACTCTTCATGTCATGATGTCAAAAACGCTTCACCGTAGTAGTGAGCCGAACGGTATGTGCTTATTGTTTCCACATCTTTTGAATCTGTGAGTGGGAGACGGCCAGAAATAGCTTCCCTTTGTAGCATCACCATGCCTTTGAGGACTGCATGTCAGCTCTGCACGGCACATAGAGCCTGTCAGTGCTTTTTAAATGTAGTATATTCAAACAGAACCTAAAAAAGAACTAGTCTCCTGTCGGGCAAAGGGTCTGCAAAACCTTTGTCTCAGATATGCAGGTATGTTGGCGACTTAAATTTCACTGGGGTTTCCTTAAAAATCAAAATGAATGGACTGTTAGACACATTTGCAGTAAGCTTTTGGACATCTTCACAAATGTCAGCACTGTCGTATTTGCAGAGTTGACCGTCTTTGGTACCTTTTCACATTCAGTCTGCAGCCTGATGGGAGAGGAAACAGTAGTTATTAGGAGTGTGTCACTGGTCCCTCTTGCTGCTCGTACATTTAAGTCTTTTTGAAACTGAGCTTCAAGATCTGAAACAGTCCACAGGGAAATATTACCTTTAGTCAGCTGAAGGTCGTTTTAAAGGCAGGACTGAAACAGGCATTAAAAAGGGTCAATTTGGAAGATTTTAATAAGAGAGATCTCTTATTTTCCTTTGAGTAGTGGAGTGGTCTAAATATTCTTTTCATGAGCTGTAATTAATCTTTACGCTAATAGTTATAACTTGCTCATAGTTTACATCCTATTTAAGTAGCAATCAAATGTTTTGATTTTTAAAGTGCTCAGTTACAATTCCAATTACAATGAAGATCTAATTTAATGTCTTGCAGGGATAGTAAGACAACTAATCCATGATTTTGATGTTAAGAAATGTTTCATAATAACTAACTGCAGTGCAGGTAGCACTGCTGCCTCAAATCCTTGGGGCCCTGGGTTCGATTTTGGCCCCTGGGTGTCGCTGTGTGGAATTTGACTCCCTGTATCCTGATGGAAGAGGAGGACACTAGTTAAGATATAAGACCACTTTATTGGCCATATACAATTTCTTGCATTAGGAATGTGTCTTTTCGCAGACCCCCAACCTGCTCTCCATGAGACTCGCAGGCAGGGAGAGAAGCTGGGGGTCAGAGCGCAGGGTCAGCCATTTATACAGCAACCCTGGAGCAGCTGGGGTGAAGGGCCTTGCTCAGGGGCCGAACCGGCAACCTTAAATGTAAAAACAAAATTTTCCTTGTGTGCAGTGATGGCCCTGGCCGGTGTGTGTTCGTGTCCAGTGATGGACTGCCCAACGGTTTGTGTGTGCCCAAATATATTTTTCATTTTCCTCTGAACTGTACTGCACTGACACGGTTTCTTGGCATATTACATTTTGCAGATCTTTTATTTAAATGCTTCTCATTGTTTTAATGCAACACTAAAGAGAACGGTGCTCCTGCCTCCAGTCAGCCACCTTCATTGTGTAAAGTCAGGCAGCATTATTTTTTGCATCTAGGTGTCTAACTGTGGCTGGTCACAATTTTACCTTCCTTTTTTCTGTGCACTAGGGCGTCGATGTTATTATCAACGCCAGCAGCATTGAAGACATTGACCCTGCTGCCATTGGCCAGAGACTGACCAATGGCATGGGCCCTGTTGCCAGCCCTGTGCTCAGCCGTCTGCGAATGAGAGACGAGGAGCACCCAGACACTGTGGTATGAGCTTCCTGTGGGGTATTTGGGAAGGGTGGAGGGGTGATTACAGACATCTCAGACAGGTGGCCTCATCCTCTGGATGGTTGGGAGGAGCTGGAGACTCCCTGCGGTGCTTCCAGAATCGCAGAGTCCCTCGAATGGCCTGGCAAAATGCAGTGCGTTTGTTTCGTACAGGCAAAATGTCAGATCTTCCAAGTTGCGACATAAACTCAATACACAACAGCCAAACAAGACAGAAAATGTGCTATGTCACCATGTGAGAAGCATTGGATGTTCTCCACAGTCTGTCAGAAGTATTGAGAAGATCGCCGTTACAAAATAAGGAAAGAAAAGTGTCCACCAATCACAGAGCATCAGCATCAACTCTGGGCTTGGTCTTCAGAGGGCTTTTTCTCTAGGTGTGGTCTTCAGAAGTTCTCCTGTAGTGTTTGGCTTGAAATAATGGGACATCTCTTAGAAAAATCCAAAACTGGTCTGTTTGTACTGTCTACTGGGATGACAAATTGGCCTAGTCCAAAAATCTTTCCTTAGCATGACAAAACGCTTATTCCACTAACAACTTGAGATATTTCGCACCCCAGTTATATACAGTTATTTGAAGGGCTCCATCATGAGATTAAGCAGTACAGTTTGCTTCCATACAATTAAGAGTATGAAGCACAGAATCTGGTTAATCTCTCTGGCCTGAAGTGAATAGGTCCCCTCAGTGGCAGCTGGTATGAGGCTGGCCTGGAGGGTAGGAGACAGGTCTTCATCATCTTCCCCATCCAGAACAAGCCCCCTGAAACCAGAAACAGCTGGTAGGGGCAGTTCACCTGCATATACTGTACCACCCTCACCACACCCTCCCTCAGCAGAAGTCAGTCCTGCAGGGAGAATGGGTTCTTGCAGGTTACAGAGGCACTTGCTGTTAGTCGATGTGGGTTCCTAATATTTTGGCCAACGCCCTAGCGGCACTGCCGTCTTCTGTCCTCACACTCCTGCACCCTGAACCAGCTGCGCTCTTTCAGTCGGACGAGATGAGCTGATCGCAAGCCACAGCTGCCTTCTTCCAACAGGGCACCAGCTACCAGAAGACCAATGCAGAGATCGAAATGAAGAAAATCAACCGGGAGGAGTTCTGGGAGCAAGCCAAGGTACTGGATTAATTCCCTTTCAATGATGGTGGGACTCAGCGCCCAGGACAAGGTCTCCGTAACGTAGGAATAGACGTCTGTTAGCACAGTGTGGACAGCAGAGCTGAGGCTGCTGCGCTCTTGATGGAGCCAGTGTTTTTTTTTTCTGGGCAGACGGGAGTTTTATTTTTATTTTGTCATAGCAGTTACTCCCTCTCACCCCCAAGCACGCCCTTTTTACCAAAACCTGGTATTAAAAATGTAGATTGCTGCCTCTCGTTACTGACCTCAGTGATTCCAAAGTACAGGGCAGGCTCGTCGGGGCAAATGCAGCCATGCAAACATTTTACCTTTTCATTTCATAAAAGTCGGTGAATGTGGATCAAAACCGTCCTGTGACGATGGCTCTTTGGCTGTCTCAGTAAGCTTAATTAAGAATTGGCCTCAAACTGCCTAGTTTTGGGAGGGCTGGTGCTCTTTCACACACTGTCAGATGATGACTACCACAGAATGTTTTTGAGCCATGGTTAGGGGTGGCCTTCCCCCTTGTGGTCTGGATAGCCGTGGGTGAAAGGGCTCGGACGATACACAAGCATGAACGCTTGCTGGGCTTTGTGTGTGTCTGTGTGACAGACGCACACAGTGACAAGGAAATTGCCAGGGTGGGGAAAGCCCTGTGTTCTTGAGCTCTTCCCCGGACCTCATCTTTCATTGATATGCATTGAATTCAAAATCCCAGCACAGCTGCAGAGGTATCTAGCTTTCTGTGGACCTCGTCTGCTGAGGACTTAATTACCGGTTGTAAGACGAGGTCTGTGGATTGGAGTGAGCCATCAGTATGCAAGCCAGCCACGTACAAGGGGTCTAGGCTTCAAGAAGAATTAAAATATTGAAAAAACCTCAGTGCGTTTTTCGTGTTCTCGCCAAATTAACTCTAATGGTTTAAATTGTCCCTAGCTATTGGCTAATCTCTGTGTAAGAAACCATTAACATACACGTGCAGGAGGTTCTGTCAACCCGATGGCGCTGCTAAGGAGAGACAGTCTTCTGACTGCGTAGCAGGGAAGGTATCCTGAAGCGACGCAGGGCTCTGCTCCTGCCGAGCCGTGCCCCCTGCACGTAGTATGATGAGAGAAAACCTCATTATTTGAAGGTAATCGAGCCCCCGTAGTCCTGATCTCCGTTGGCTCGGAGTTCAGGAGCGGGTCGTCCTTTGCACGCTCCGAGGATGTAGCGGGAACGGGCCGAAGGCGGGGCACAAAAACCCCGCCTTCGCTGACGTAGGGGCGGGGGCGGGGCGGGGCGTCTGTCTCCCGGCGCAGCGCGAGGAGGAGCTGCGCAAGGAGGAGGAGCGGCGGAAGGCGGCCGAGGAGCGCCAGCGGTTCGAGGAGGAGCGCATGGAGCAGGAGCGGCGCGAGCAGGAGGAGCGCGAGCGGCGGTACCGCGAGAGGGAGCAGCAGATCGAGGAGCACAGGTACGGCGGGCCAACCGCCCTGCTCTACAGGCCTCATGCCTGCCTGCCCACCGGGCCGGCCCCCCGGGGGAGGGCTGGGGTGTGCACCTCGGCGCCTCGACGTGCGAGCTCCGTCTCTTCGGTCTCACGGCAGTTGTGCAAAAGTGCTGTAGTGAATGTGCATTAAAATCTCTCGGCCTGTCCCTTGCACTTGGCTCTCCGTGCTTTGCTGTGCGTTGCTGCTCTGGGCCGCGACATGCCATGGTCTACAGAGGGAGTGGGAGGGATCTGTAAGAGTAGCTCCGCGTAGCCCTTTACTCAGGGGATAACTGGTGTATAATGCACTTCTAGGGGTTACCAAGGGGGTGGGGTCCCTCGGCTCTGTAGTCTGCCAAAAGTATATCGATCTGAGGATCTCGTCCAGCCAGTCAGCCTCCGGTCTCCCACGACCCTTGGTGTAAAACAGTGACCCTTTGTCCAGTCCTGGGAGCCTGTTGTCCTAAATTCCCCTTCTGTTCTCAGACCCCTCACAGATGGTCCCGAAGTAGTCCACCAGAGTCCATACCCGAGGTGCCCCGGTGAACAGTGGTAAATAAATCTGTCGGGAGTGAAGGTTTTCCGATAGGCTTGGCTTTGTAGGTAGTAGACGTCCGGTGCCATAGGAGGAGCCCAGAATCGCCTCTGGCACAGCTCAGAATACCTTCCCTCAGGGCTGGCAGTGCCCTTCTGTTCACCTCGTCCTTTCTCTTACCGTTGGACAGGAAGAAGCTGCTACAGAGCCAGGAGGATGAGGAAGCCAAAGAGAAGACGAGAGACCCGTCCCTTTTCGTAAGTGAACACTCGCTGCGCCGCTCAACTCCCGAGCCGGATGATCGCACACAAGAGGCAAACAGACCCTGGGACTCATGAGAGCCCCAGAGGGGGACAAGCACGTTTGAAAAGGGAGTCGCAGAACCACAGTGCCGGCTGCAAGCCTTTTGAACTCTCATTCACTTCCTGGAATATCAGAAGGCGGCATTATCTGCGCCCATTTCCTCCTTTTAAAGTTCCTTTAGCCAGTGGGGAGGATCCCCTCTGTCCTGCTCGGTCAGATCAGATCTCCCGCCACAGTCAGGAGAGGGCAGCGTAGTCCTGGCGTTAGAGTTGGGTGGGGGCCCTGCACAAGCAGAGGGGAGCGTGGTGTCTGTTGAGCAGAGGCTCGGTGCTGAACGGGTTAAGCAGAATGGACAAAGGCAACGCATCCGGCAGAAAGGTCACATGTCGCTCGCCGCAGGAGCGCTGCTTCCGCTGCTGCCGCCAGAAATGAGAAGGAAAACCCAAATTCAACAGAATTTCAAAGACCTTCTTTTAAAAAAAGCAGTTTCGCTTCCCTCACAACACTAGAAACTCTCAAGCCGTTTCTAAGCGCTCTTGTAAATAAATCCACCGCCACCAAACACTGCGCATCTATTTCTCAAAAATCAGAACCGAAAAAGATTGTTTTTTTGACATCCCCGACTGAGATATCAAACCTGAATTTAGCTGTTATACTGAGAATATGATGGAACCCTTTAAAATGCTGTTTTGAATCGCGGTTTTATGCTCCTTTACATGGGGTGCTTTGGATGTGCTCTCCAGCTTATTAAAAATGTGTTGCTAGAGAGCCCCCTGGTGGTTAAGAAGGTTAAAAAGCCTGCCTTTTTTCATCCCCCCTCTCCTCTCCCTGTGCAGGTAGAGCCAGAGAACGAAAGCAGTGCCCAGGACAGGAAGGAGTCTGAAGTGGAGGTGGGTTATTCTCATCGTGGCCACATGGGGGCGCCAAAAGGCGGCTTATTGTAAAATAGTGAGTGCGCTGCCTCCGCTATGTCTGGGGATCTCCTTCCGCAGAATTCAGTCCTGAAGCATATTGCGAAATGCGACACAGAGGCGGGTCAGCTAGTGCATAGGTTCTGGGTCCAGTTCTGGTTCTGGATTGTCCGTGTGGCACTTGTATCTTCCAAAGTCATGCAGGTTAGAGCAGCTGAGGGCTCTAAATTGTGCCTGTGTGCTTGTGTGTCCATCTTGTGATGGACTGCTCTAGTCCCTCTACAGTATGGCACCTTGTGTCCTGCCATTCCAGGATAGACTCTGTTTGTGTGTGTATGCGTATGTGGACGTGTGTGTGTATACATGTGTATGCATGTGCTTGTTTGCGTGCGTGCATGTTTGTGTGTATATATGCATGTGCGTGATTGCAGGACTCAGCCTGCGTGCTATCTGTCGGCAGGAGGCTGCGGCGATCATCGCTCAGCGGACGGAGAACCCGCGCGAGTTCTTCAAGCAGAGGGAGAAGGCGGTGGCCTGCAGTTTCGACAGCTCTCCCGTCAGCGGCCACAGGACAGGTGAGGCCGGGGGCTGGAAGCAGAGGAGCAGGAGGCCTGCGCAGGGGGTGTCCGTCTCTCACCGAAATCCGGTCTGGCTCGAGCACAGGAGCGCCCCTGGCTTCCAGGAGCGCCTGGAGCCGAGACACTGAGGCCTGTGTTTCTGAGCCGCGCCACAACCCTGAGGCAGTCTCTCCAGCTTTGCCTTCTATGCTCCAACTGCACTGGAAATGAGCCCTTCAGCCCGTGTCCTGCTCTGGAAGGGCCGGGCCTGCTCAGGCTGCCCCCGCACGTCTCTGTCAGAGCGAGGCAGTGGGTTTCAGCAGCGTGCTGCGCTGAGCGCCCCCCTGTCTCAGGCTGCTGTGCCGGAGACTGCGTCAAGGCTGCCCAGGGTCAGGGGAGTGCGCGGCGGCAGCTGGCGTGCAGCACTGAGGGCCGCGGAGCATGGGCGGACAGCATGCGGTCCCGCCAAGCACAGTGGGGGTGCTGATGGGAGGGGTCCTCTCTCCGCTCCTGCCCAGGCTGTGCCTGTTGAATGGACAGATAAATAGGTTTTAAGTTTGTAGACAACCAATGAGCAAAGATTAGCTCTCTGTTGTTGGCTTTGATCCCACAGGGGGTGGGAGTGTTTAAATCGGCATGTAAAACCGAGTTATCTAAACTAATGCTTGTGTGCCTGGCGGCTCAAAAAGATCAAGCGAAAGTTGGTGCCCAGGATTCGAGCTGAGACATCCTGGTTGTCAATATCCAGTAATCTCCCGATACATTTTCTTAAACTTATTTAAAAATCACCGTTATCATAATCAGATGTTAATGTCCAGTATGGAATAATGGAGTAGTACTAGTAGCAGGAAGCAAAATAAATAATCCAGCCCCAATGCAGGTGGCAGACTTGTGATGAGGAAGTACCTTCATTATCCTTCTAAACAGAAATTTGAAACATTTGCTGGTCAAAAACTCTGATGCTCCTTAATTGCAAAGGGATAAAGGGATCGATATGATCGCTTCAAGTAGACGAAACTTACTCAGGTGACACATCCTGTTGGTACTGTAATGTGTGCTGTGCTTGAGGTAAAGCAGACTCAACAAGAGCAGTTCTAAGCAAACTTCTGAAGATAGAATGACGGGAGGTTCAGTTGAACACGATGCAAGGAATTTGAGCATGGCATGCAAGTTAGAAAATCTTTACGCAAATATAGTTATGCCAGGAAAAAGCCTATAAATAGGATCTCTGTACGACCACTTTTATGACTGGCTGATTCTTTTATCTAAAGTGACTTACATTTGCAACCACGTGTACAGCTGGGTGTTTTACCGGGAGAGTGCAGGCGGTGTGCCTCGCTCAGGGGTACCACAGCAGCATGTCACCTGGGATTCGAACCTACAGCCTTCAAGACACGAGGCCAGAACCCTGACTGCTGCCCTTCGTGTGATCGTGAATGAACAGAAACTGTGACAATACCCCAGGCACAGAACAAAAGCGAGAGAAATGCATCTGTATCTGGCCTCACGTGCTGCCAGACTGGATGTGGTGTTGGATAACTATTTAAAGTTTTTATCAAAGACCATTGCAGGGCAGGGGGCCTCCTGTCCTGAGTTCATAATCGGATTCAATGGCAGAGGGAGATAATTGGCTGTGAACTGTTGAGGATTCCTTTCTCAGATCTCCCAGCGTTCAGAATCTAATAGAAACTCTAATAGGAACATGTGGGTATATCTCCGAGCCCTGTAGTGACCAGAGTCTTTTACACAGAAGGACTCGTAATCGGTAGCTGCCCGTTTGTGAGACTCTTCCTCTGGGTAAGAAGCCTGTTGCTTGTCTCGCAGGCTGGCAGAACCAGCCTCCATCGAGGAAGGCTTGATCCAACAAAGTCTGTACTCCGCCTGACCTCTCTGTCTCTCTCTTTTTTTTCTTGGCTGTCTGTCCATCCTGTTGTCTGTGTTCTTGTCTTCTCACACTCACCTGTCTCTTATGGCCTCTTCGTTTACTTTGAGACACCCCCCACCCCCCTCGCCAAACTGCAACCAACTCCAATTGTCCATTCGTTTTCTTTTCCATCCTCGCCCAATCTTGCCACTCTCCCTTACATTTTTCGGAAATAATTGTGACATCTATCGCTGGTCTCTTGGCCTGCCTATCCATCCCCTCTCCCTCCTCTCCCCATCTCTGTCCTCTCCCTCCCGGCTCCATTTTATTCTCTGCCTCTGCTACTCTGCCATCTTGCTTCACATGTCTTTGTGGTCCTCTTCCTCTGCCTCCTGTTTCTCCTGTCTCTCCCTGCCACTCTCTGTCTTCCGTCAATGTCTTCGGTCTCCGTCCTGTCCCCTCCACCCTGTCTCCTTCTTCTCTCAGGCCGCTTGGACAGCCCGTTCTTGAAGTTGCAACACAGTCTTCCTGAGCCCAGCTCGTCCCCCCCTCGCTCCCCGCTGCTGTCGCCAGCACCGCCCCACGCCCGGCTGCAGCCAGGTCAGCCCGGTAGGTACTGGACAGCTCCCCCACCTGGCTGGAGGGCTGAACTCCAGGGAGTTGCTTTCCTGGGCTGTAGAGTGGCCGGTGAGCCCATCCCTTTGCTGCTGCAGCAACAGCTGACTCGCACAGCCCCTGCGTCTCGCCCCAGCGCCCCCTAAAACTAAAACTCCAGTGCTAAACCGGATTCAAATGAGACAGACTCAGACATATCATCAGGAATGCTGGATCTCTGTAGCAGTTTGCCATGTTGTCTTTTCATAAATGCATTCATGCATTTCGATTTCTAAATAAAGCTTTCCCTCACCAGCCGCAGAGCGGTTTGGCAAAGCCACGCTCGGTAAATGCTGGAATTCATGGAAAACGGGGGGTTGGGTTTCCATGGTCTGTGTTACACTCATCTGTGGCCAGCATAATGCACAGACTCCTCCCTCAGCAACTGCAAGCACAACAACTGTTAGTTTTAATTCAGCATAGGAAAGTAACACAGTATGTCGTCGTAATGAAATCGCCACACGTGCTAAAAAGTGGCGGAAGAATCGAGCGATTTAAAGAGAGTCGTGTGCGCGCTCGTGTGAGGAAGACGTGCCTGAGAGACCAGCCCTGTGCGCGCGAGAGGCAGGACGGCGCCGCGGGGGTCCTGAGCTGCTGGAGAAGCAGGGATTCCACGGGCGGGGCTGTGTGTCGGTTGGGAAGACCGCTGCTCAGTATGGAACCTGCGTGTGAACGAGCTCCACGCTTGGTGAGGGAAGACTTGGTGGGCCACGCCGTGCGACGTTGCAGGAGTGAAGCAGACACAGCAAGTGGCACCGCGCTGACGAACACTGATTTTGACACACATTTCGGCCTTTCCTGCTGAAGCAGTTCATTGATAACCCCGTTTTGCTTTCACTGCAAAGGCTTCATCTAAACGTTCAGGGAGCACTTGCACAGCCTGACTCCACTGCAGTTCAGCTTCTCACTCGGTCCTTCTGATTTTCCTCTTGCGCGCATTCCACTGGTGTTCATGCACGGCATCCATTGTGTGGATCCAGTTCTGTACGGATGCCCGGGGGAGGATGCAGCCTGGACACAAAGACTGCACGGCAATAACAAAGGCACCAGGCACAAATCAGAGCTGCCACAAACACACCAGCATCTGGGATGTTAGCTTTGTGGGCCTGAGCAAGATGAACAAACAGAAGGCCGGTATGTCTGATCCGGTATTTATTTTATGGACACTGAAGTACATTTGGAAGCTGGGACAGTCCCCTTACTATGTGACATGGATGTAATGTTAGTACGGTATGTTCGTGTCTTGATTTTGTTTCTAGTGAGATACAGACCAATGCAGCGAGTTTGCTTTGGGATATTTCTGAAAGTTTATATAAAACTGGTGTTGCCTGCACTTATTCAATGCCCATTGCTTGCAAATGGTTGCAGTTGTCTGAAGGAAAGGATCCATACTTTGTTAATCAATAAGTCTGCCAAAATGTTATATATCTCCTTTAAGCAGATTTATGGGTCTATTGTCTTTCTGACCTGTTTTGTGCTGTGCGTAGTGTCTCCATTTCAGCTTCTCCTCTGTGGAATTTGGCTGAGAGAGAATGTTAGTTTGTCATCTTTATGTTGTCACCTGCTTTAGAATCCCTTGTTTACAGAGGAAGTTCCCACTTTTATGGCTATGTTCTTAAACATGAAGGAAGTCCTGCTTGAACACCCCATGCCCATCTCCCTAAATGGACAATACCGCTCATTTTCAGTACGTTTAGTCGTAGAGCAAAACAAATTGCTCTCGATGTGTTGAAATCGATAGGGGACAAGGTTCTGATCTGCTAATTCAAAAGGAGACACAACACAGAAGGTGTTGGAAGACTCCACCTGCTCTCTCCCTGTCCAGCAAATTTAATTCTCTTGGGTTTGTATTTGTAAAATAAAGCTAGAAAATGGTAGTGGCTCCATTAACCCTTTAAAACTGTTAGATTTTGCCATGTGTGAAAAGGTCTTTTGCTGACACGGCAGTAGGAGTGAACTTTTTGTTAGTTTTTGATTGAGATGACTGCTGAACAGCTTTATTGTGGAGCTCGGATCTTTGGAGGTGGCCCTGTAAATGTGTCCAGCTGATTTGACAACCTGTATTCAGAAAACCAACAGCCCTTTGTTCTGTCCATGATAATGTTGTGCTGTAGGACAACTGTTGAGCTGGTTTTATGGCAGGTGACCTGGCAAAAATGAAGTTCTTTGCTTTAAGCTCTTCCTCTTTCACTGAGAGTGTCTCTGTTTTCGGCACCTCTCTTCTTTCAAAGGTCATTTTCCCAGTATGCGCTACAAAGTGTCCTTTGAAAAGGGGATTCCCGGGCTCTTGTCTCCCAAAAAAAAAGTCTGTAAACAGGTGTGGTTCTGTAACTGGGAGATTCATAAACCTTTTGTGATTGGATATCGGACTTGAGCGTATATCTTGATTTTGCATCCTGAGGGAAGTGTGTGTCTCTTCTGGGCTTCGTGCCATGTTAGTGTTAGAAGACGTAATTAGAAGACGTGCATCCTTTGTGGTCTTCATTATGTAGATGTTGCTCTCTGACTTGACTTACAGCAAGAATGACCATGATGCTCCCTTCTCTGCTCACGGAGCTCTTTATTTCATGACGCCCTGGTACAGCCGAGGTTCTTTAAAGACAATGGCTGCACTTTCTTGAGAGGAACTGCGCTTTGTCTGCAGGTCGTATCAGTCAGCACGGCCCCATGATGGCTGGGAAGATGCAGTTCACGCTGTGTTAATTTTGGATCTGTAATGAAGATCTGAGGACGCTTGCCATTATATTTAGAGCGATTAATAGACGTCCTTAGTAGCTGGATGTGCTATTTTCACAGTTCATCTGTTCTTAAGAACCCAGAGGCTCCTGGTTTGGGCTTGTAGTCAGTATTGCGTGAAGACGCATTCTATCACCAGTCCAAATTTAATTCTCTCACGCACAGAGCTGTAGGTAAGGAACGTGGCCTTGTGATAGCAAAGGGCATTTTGTCTTGATTGCACCATGACGTTAGTGTGTCAGCATGAGCTTGCCGTATTAATAAGCCATCGAACATGTAACCCATAGATTCTATTTAAATAAGCTTTATGACTTATTCTGTATTGACGTCTGTTCGCCTTGATCACAAGCACATTTGCCCCCACTTCTGTTTCCAAAGAAATGATCCAGTCTGTGCGACACTGCCAACTTCACGCTGATTGAGCTATTATTAGTTTTATTATTCAGGCATTCATCTGATTCCTTTCTGCAAGGTACCATAGTTAATAATACAGTTCTATTTAAAGTCGTATTACATGCTTATTGTTAAACAGAATTTAACAAAAGTTTAACAAAATTTGTATTTTCAAAACTTGCACGTTGCACTGCAAAGCAAAAATACAATGCAAGATACATTTTTATACAATAGCTACTGAAATGAAACAATAAAACTTTACACTAATGATATAAATGTGAAATTCTTGATCTTGGTGTTAGCTGGGTGAAGTTGGAGACCAATGCAGGTTTTCAACTTTTTGTGGAATGGGAGGCAGACAGAGAGGTTTTTGAAATTGCTTGTTGGGTTTAGTTGAGGTGCCATTGCGTGTGAAGTCCTGCGGTTATCAAATACCTGCTTCATAACCAAAAGCAGCAATAACCAGAGAGAGAGAGAGTCACGAACTTCAGAGCTTCTGCAAAGTTACTGCCCAGCAGACAGAGTAATTGGACCAGGAAGTACCCCAGTCTGAGGGTTACAGTCCACCTGACTGGAGAATACTAGTTTTGGAAATTCGTAATCCAACTGGAAAGACATAATATACAAAATATCACAATTAACTATTCTCAGATTATTGTCAAAACAATCCTGACATTGTAGAATTCTAAATTTCCAAACTAAAATAATCTGTAAGCATCCAGTATCTTCAGCATTGTCTATTCCTTATTTTTCAACGGGTATTTATATACCTAATTAAGGTCCTGTCTTACTCCAGGAATGTCATTTTCCAGGGTGTCGTGCTCACGCTCTGTCCCCTGGTCTGGCGTCCCTGCGGTCTGCTCGTGCTCAGAATGACAGGGCTCCGCTGGTCGCAGGCTGCTGCTCAGTCGCCTGTGCAGGCTGCCAGACCTTTCACCAGGACCAACATCTTGATGTTTTGGTTGAAGCGTGTTACTTGCCCCGTGATGGGTTTTTTTTTTCAGAATATACAGGACACAGTGCAGTTTATTCCTGTTTTGTTTGGTCCCCTTGAAAATGTTATAATATTGTGCAAGAGGAGGGAAACGCAGCAGTAGAAATACAGAGTGGCGCAACTAGTCAAGGTGCTCGTTTTCGAAGACATAAATAAAGTTATAATTACGAGGGGGGCATGCGGCACATCTGGCCCATGTGGCAGGTAGGTTAGTAGCGAGCTAATTGATCTCATCCAGCTGTTTCTTGAGGGAAGTCAGGATATTGACTTCAGTAACATGGCTGGGCAGATTGTTCCGTATTCCTACAGTCCTTTGTGTAATCAGTGCATCTTGTTCTCAGTTTTTAACGCACTGCCAAGTTTCTTGTTCTGAAGGCGATTGGTTGCTGCGTATTTCTACTTGTATCCTCTGGTTCGTGTTTTACCATTTATTCAAGTACGTTGACAGTGTCGACCACTATTTGATAGCAGGCAACTCTGGAGCCTCACGAAAAATGAATACAGTGACAAACACAATTCTACAATTATACAGGTACAGCTGACTAGTTTTGCTCTTGAGCTCCTCCTGTGTAGTGGGCTCTTAATAACTTGGACTACTTGGACTGCTCGGTTATACATTAATTTTAATTTTCTGCCCTGTTCCAGATTCTTGGTTTTCTGTACCATTCTTATTTTGTCTTTTTTCAGAAATACTAGCTAGTCTGAAACATGAAAATGTGGGCATGTGTGGGGATGAAAAATGATGAATTCAATGTCATTGTCAGGCAACCCCATTGTGAGTTATAAGGCATCACCAAGTTAGGAACAGACTGAACGCTGATAGCAGAGGATTCCTGAAGCAGTTGTTGTAAGGAGAACAGCTAGAATAATAATTAAGAAATGATGTTCAGTTAAGCAGCATTGTCCTACGAAAGCTGTTTCTGTTTGCATGAAAGCAGAAATAGTGGATTGTTCCCAAGAGTCAGTACAAAATATATTTTGCATACAATTAGAAGGTGTTATTGTTGCTTTCCCCAGTTGAGAGCTGCAGCATTAAAGCCCTTTGATTTTTGTAAGTCGTTCTGTATTTCCCTCTGTCTCTTTATTCCAGATGACAATGCAGATGCTGGCACAGACCAGAGCCCTGCCTCCATCTCCCCAACATCCATCCCCAAAATCGTGACCACGCCCATCCTGGAGGAGACGGAAGACGACTCCCAGCCGGAGATCCGGGAGGACTGGGGTAGGAGCACAGGACACCCTACTTTGCCAGACCAGGGGCAGTAATCACAAGCCATCCCATGCTCCATGTTAACATAGCTCACAGTAGAGAACAATGAGGAACTTCTAGAGCCATTTGAGCCAGAAATGTAGACCAGATCCATTAGCCAGATCAGCATGTGCTTTTTCCAATCTGCCTATGGATCTTCCATGCTGATCCTGACTCCCAGGTGGTAATCTCTCCGTTCACAGATTGCTGTGCTTCAGCATCATGCTGTACGACTGTATTTCCACTCTTCTTCATCAGGCCCCCCTGAAGTAAGATGTGAATTGCTCTCAAAATTAAAAAATAAAGTCAGGGGCCTTATATTCGGTTGAATTAGGGAAGAAAACCAAAAACCCATCGAAGCAAGATAATGACTAAAGGGCAGAAGGGCTTGCTCTTGTCCTTGAGCAGGTTCAGAGAGTCCTGGCTGGAATGTTAATAGATATCCAGAGGTTCCGAGGCTGGGGAGCGAGTGCAAGTTGATGGAATGGCTGCGTGTGCGACCACTCCTAGCAACGCTCCGGTTGAAGGGTCCAAACGTGATAAATTTGTCTACTTTCAGACACGGTTGCCCTTGCGTTATCACCGTCGAAGACTAAATAAGGCGTCAGTGACAGGAGAAGTAATCTCCCCGACGGGAACGCTGCACTCCGCAATTGCTGACTTCAAGGATATCGAGTCGTTGATCTTTAAATAGCTTACTGGGCAACTTGCAAGCTTCTAAGTCACAGTGCAGCCCGGTTTATTTTTCTTCCACCGCCTCATTAGTATGTGAAAAGTCTCCCTGCTAGAATGACTACAGAAGAGTGGTAGCTGCGATGGAGCCAGGCCCGTTAATAAGTAACTGAGATGTCACGGTTGTCTGGTAGGGAGAGAGAAAAATTTGCTTCCAGCTCATCTCTTTGAAACAAACGTGGAGAAAATGACATGGGTGCCTCCTCATTTGTGTGTTTAAGCTCAGGCTGACTTCACAGATCGGTGAGCTTTATTCAGCACGGCAGGTCTTTGTGCACCCACGCTAAAGACACCTGGAAAACGGGAACCAGATTACTGCCCGCTCACACGTCTGCAATTGTGCAGAAAACAGGAAGAGAGAGAGAGAATGTCAATCCGCATGTCTGTGACACGTGTGCCGGTGTCCATCAGGGTGGACGATGCAGGGCCTTGATTCGTCCCTAAAGAGGACCCGAGCAGCCCACTTGTGACTTGTGGAATTGTGGCTCCAGCTAACCAAGGACACAAAGGCATCGTTCTATGGATGAGTGGGGCATATTGGTCCCTTTCTGTGTTTTGATTTTCACCAAGCTAGACAATCGAGAAGTGAAGTCATCACCCATGCCCAGTCAGATCCCTTGCTATCAGGGTGAATTAGCGTTCACGCAACGTACCCCTCTTGCATGGCACTTGGATTCATTTCAGGTTTTTATGCAGGCTTGCAGGCATTTCTATAAAACATTTTTAAAATTGTATTTGAATTCCCATTCTGCTGGGAGAACATTTCCAGCACTTGCTCTTAGCTTAGGTGCAAGAGCTTGCTGTTCATACTGATTGTATGCACCCACACTGTAAATGCAGATCCTATATAATCCTATGTATAAAGCATTTGCTCTTTAGCTCGCCTAGCTAAGGGAATTGCAGTCTATCTGAGGCTGGCAACGGGCCAAACCCCCCTCACTGTTGTGAGGAATGAGCCAGGGAGCTGCAGCAGGGGTGCAGTTTGGGAGGTGGGGGTGTGTGAGAGAGAGATGCGAAAGGAAGTCTTGGGTGCGAGGTGAACAAAGGTGAAGGTGTGAGATGAGCACCTAATCGTCCTCCCAACTATCTTTTATAATTGAGAGCAGAGAGCAGAGGAGTTTGTTTGTTGAAGAATTCTTATTCTCGCTGATCTCTCAAGACAGTCAGACACAGTACAGCAGACGGCACCACACAGCGTAGACAGTACATTACAAACATAATAAATACTAACAACAGAGCAATTACAACAGATTCATTAATTATTAATTAATTATAATTTGATTAGGGGATCCCCTTCTTGGTTTGATCAGTCTTCTCTTTTCTCTTTTTCGGTGACCCCGCACAGCCCCAGAGCCGGAGCAGCCCCCCCCCGTGCAGGAGACCTCTCCAGCCAAGCCTGTCCAAAGTGTGGCCCCCCAGGCCAGAGAGCCCCTCGTGCCCTCGGGAGAAGCAGCGGACACCGCCTTAGCCGGCTTCCGAGATCAGCCGGCACCTGCCCCGCAGGAGTCGGGCAGCCTGCTGGACCTCTGGGAGAGCTCTGACCCTCAGGTCCCCCCCGTCCCCAACCAGGAGCCCCTGCCAGCGCTGGTGGACCTCTCGGAGACGTCCCCCACGGCTCCCCCGGCCGCGCTGACGGACCTGGCCCCAGGGGATGAGCCAGCCCCCCTCCCCCAGCCCCTCCTGAGCTTCGACGACTTGCCCGAGCCGCCTGCCTCCTTCTGCGAGGGCGCCGCGGAGGAAGACGACCCCTCCAGCTTGGTGGACGTGGCCGGCACTCACCCGATGACCATCAGCTACCAGCATGCCCTGCAGCAGGCCTCGGGCTCCGACAGCCAGGACCTCGACGACGGCCAGCTGCTGATGACCAACGGGGAGGCGCTGCTGAAGGAAGGGACACAGGTGAGGGTCCGGCCCGCGGTTCGGCCCACATGGGGCCCACATGGGGCCCACATGGGGCCCACATGGGGCCCACACGTGCTCACTGATCCTCCAAAGCCACAAGACCCATTGAAGGACACTCTTCCCATCCAGCTCCTTGGTTTCTACCTGTTTATAGAACATCACGTCCATCTAAGATTTCTGAGGGGGAGGCCATTTCACTCTGTGCTCAACAGTAGCGTAACGGGTAGAGCCCCACCCCAGACGTCGCGGGTTCGAGGCTGGTTTTTGTCAGTGTGGGCAACCTAAGCCGTTGGTTTGAGTTTGCAGTGGAACTTCCTGGACGAAACCATTTCAGTGTTGTCAGCGAGAGCTGCATCTCTCTGCCAGCCAGCTCTGCGAGCTCTGTGGGATTGGCAGCATGAGACATCATGACTTTCTGACACTGGAGGCATTGTAGCATGTCCATGAGCACTGCAGCCTCACAGCTCTTCGGTCCTGGGTTCCCTTCTGGGCTGTGGTCACCACCTCTGTGTGGAGTTTCCTGTTCTCCCATTGTCAGGGGGGGGGGCTTCTCTGGCTGGGTTGAATGGTGTTTCTCTGTCCGCCCTGCCCTGGACTGGGATTCTGCCCGGCTCCTATTTCCACCTTGAGCCCAGTGCTTCTGAGACATTCCAAGAATAAGCGGCTTTCTTGTAATGGAAGAAGCCTCGGGAGAAAGCTCTGTAGCAGCTGGTTATTCCATGTGAACAATTTGAAGAGCTGATATAATGGAGCTGATAGCTATTCCGAACAGATTAAGGGATGTCTCTCGTCTTGTACAGATCACTCAGCCTGGCTGTTTGCCAATGTAAAAGAGGCTCCAGCGGTTTGATTATAAAAGAAGCTAGTGCTCTTAGTCGTCTGCTGTTGGTGGGAGTGGGAGGTTAACGGGCTGGGGGTTATGTATCTGCTTACACTCAGACCAGAGCAGAGTGTTGCAGCCTGCTAGAGCCCCTACTGACACCCTGTGTGTCAACCGGAGGACATGGGACTCGCAGCAGACCTGCATGTGTCCATTAGAGGGCAGACAAAGCAACAAGATCGTAACCTGGAGCGCTACAGCCTTTCTTAGACCTTGTAGCATTACAATATAAAACACTATTTTAGATTTCTCTATTAAAAACGTTTTGTTTTTGATGTGGTCATCTACAGTACAGTACAGTATGTGTGTATATATATTTCTGTATTCTTATACAATGCTTAAACAAATTATATTAATTCCTTTGAATAAATTCTGATAGATTGATGTAGGAGTTTGGTTCTGTCCATGTTCCCGTGACCAATATGGCTAACATGGTGTTCAACATTTCCTTGTACAGGCAAGCGAAGGCTATTTCAGCCAGTCGCAGGAGGAAGAGTTTGCCCAGTCGGAGGAGAGCTCTGCGAAGATCACCCCCACACCAGTTTTCTATAACAAGCCCCCAGGTAAAGATGACACTGAAACCACCCCATGGAAATTGCAGTGGAGCTTTCTAGAGGAAGTACAAGAAGACCATGGTCTGTAACTGAAGAGCCACTAATTTTGTTGGAGGTGTCCCTGTTTTTTGGCTTAAGATGTTCTGATAACGAATTTAGAAGTTTGACTCATGAGCTGGATTTATTTTACATCTGTAGCCCGCTTTATGACATTTTTCCCCAAGAGCTAAATACTTACTCTCCCCTTGGTTTCACTGTAGCCCGTTTCTCAGCGAAGAAAACCCTGAATGTGTTTGTGCTCCCCACAGAGATCGACATCACCTGCTGGGACAACGACCCCGTGACGGAGGATGATGAGTACGGCGCTGCGGAGTGACGAGAGGAAGGTGAAGGCGTCTTCGAAAAACTAATAATGTAATAATAAGTCTTGCATCAAAAAAATCTGTAAAATGTAAAAAAAAAAAAAGGTAAACTACTGGAAAGATTCTGGTTATTGTTAAAGATGCAAAAGAGCTCCATTTGTCCTTGCTCTGCCCTCGGTAAAGAAGCAAACTCTAGCACGGAAGATTGGGTGCATATTATAGGGAAGACTGAAGCTTAACTTGGGAGCAAAATCAGTAAGGCAGATAAAGCACTTTGCATTGGCTTCACTAGAAGTGGACGGCGTGTTAGACGCGTAGAGGCCTCGCTGTCCCTTCGCACTCCTTGGCACCTGCTCCTGTAGCTTTAGCTCCTCCTGTGTGGATCCCTTCCTCTTGTTTAGTTAGCAGAAGAAATCCTGCGGTCAGTTCTCTTGAGTTCCATCGGGTCTTTTTCCCACCTCCTGGAAGGAGGGCTTGAGGACCCCTAGTCTGTGTGTGTGGGAGGGGTCCCCGGGCTGTGCGAGCTCCTTGTGTCCCTTCCTTTTTATCAATATTGGAGAGTTGCTGCTTTCAGAGGATCCATTTGACTCTGCTTCTGAGAACGGGAGGCCAACTGCATAACTAATGACTGTTTTAGGATCGTGCCAATTCACTTTTTAAATAGCTTTGTTTGTACTTGTATATTTTGAGCACCAAAAAAGACTCAGTCGAGGGAAAATGGATAGATGGCGTGCGTTTTATTTTATTGGGGACAGCAATCTTTAACTATGGAACTGTGGAAACCATACCAGTACTGCTAGCCGAAACTAGACTCTTCTCTGTACCCTCAAGCCTCAGTATTTGATTCTGTGCTCCAGCATAGTTTACAGTGGTATAGTCCGTTTTTCTATGTGTTAAACCTAGCATTTTAAAATTGCTCTTACGTCTTCTTAACCAGTTCTATATGTATGTGTGCACTGGAAGTGATAATGCTAACGTCAGGGGTTACAAATCCCTGATAGAAACTTGGAATATATCCGCAGGAGAACAAGAAGGAAGCTGCACATCAGTTAACCTACTAGTAGCCAATCATTACAAATACTAACTTCACTGTTATGCATGTTATTAACAAAAAGGCACACTGTTCTCTTCTACAAATGTGTAATTCACTGTTAATAGTTTCCTAATCACATCCTATAAAGTGTCTCTTGTAACCTGTATGTTAAAAGTAATGATTTTACCAGCTTCAAGTCAGTAATCCTTGCACAGGGGGTCGGAATGGAGCTGGGAGCTGAGGGAGAAAGACTTGGACATGCAGGTTCGGAACTGGACACTGAAATTTTGTTTCACAACGTGCGTTTTACATGATCAGAACTGTGCTGCTTTTTCCTTGAAATAAATAAAACATATGAAGAACAGAACTGGCTGCTGTCTGATAATCCTGAAAGCAGAGGTTTTTCTCCTCTGCTTGAATGTATTCACTTCTCAACTTTCCTGATGTATTCTAAGTGAAGTGTGTTAAACATGGGGAGAAAACATTCATGGCTTGTCATATGTTGCTGCAGTTAAAGTTGAATCAATTTATTTTAAACCACCCTCACCCAAGAAAGGGATTTAGTTCCAAGCTTTTACCTCTGGTGTGAGATACAGCAAAATGAAATTTCCCTCCTTTTAATGTTCATCATAAGAGCTGGTAATTCCAGCAGGAGGTGATATTGCATTTGCTTT